CTCACAGGACAGACAATCCCCCTATGAGGACAATTACATATAATGATGAGCCTTCACCCTGGAAAAGTAGTAGTTATCTCATGGGAACTAGATTGCTCACCTCAGTGATGACATCAATAACTTTTTGAGAACCCCTCCCAGAATCAGAACTGAGATAATAAGGAACAAGTCCACATTGTGACTGATAGTGTTTAACTATGCATACCTCTCACTCCCTACCCCAATTCTTTCTCTATTTAAACCTAACGTTCATGTCTGTGTCCCAGAAGATGAGTTGAAGTGCTTAGTTTACCTTATCTAGTGACATGCCCATGTCACATAAGAAACCTCCTTTCTCTGCTCATCACCATCACTCATCTCTTCATTTGGTTTGTTGAGACAAGTGATTGGACCTGATATGTGGAACCCTTGGAATTGGGCTTGTAGACTAAAACTCCACTTTTAATTTTGCCAAATATATATAACTATTTAACTACCACTCAAACAATACATATGACATTTTCTTTACCCTAAAAAGTTCCATAGTATAATGGGTGATCCCCATCTCCAGTCCTGGACAACTAGTGCCTAATTTCAGTCAGTATATATTTTTGCTTATTTTCAAATTTTATAAAAATACTATCCAGTTCATATATTTTTGTGTCAAGTTCTTTCACACACCATAAAGTTTTAAGGTTTATTCATCTTGAGAGTTATTCAAGTGTGTATTAAGTAATTAATCCCTTCTTATTGCTAAATAGTATTCAATCAGATGAATAGACTACAATTTGTTTACTCACTTTCCAGTTGAGGGAAGTTGGAATTGCTTCCAATTCAGGACTAGTATAAACAAAGCTGCTATGAATGTCCATATGCAGTCTCTTGGTGGGCATATGTCTCCATTTTACTTTGTCAAACACCTAGGAGTGGATTTTCCACATCCCAAAGAGCTTGTAATTTTAATTTCATAAAAATAGCTAAGGTATTTTCCAAAATGGCTATGCCATTTCACACTTTTACCAGCAAATAAAGGAGAGCCAGGTCCTCATCAACACTTAGTATTGTCAGTAGCTTTAATCCAGCCATTTTAGTAGTGATGAAATGGAATGGTGTTTTTTTTTTTTTGCATTTCCTTGATTATTAACAGTATCAATGCTATTTCTGTATTCTTATACCCTTCTTGAACTGTGCATTGCTTATTTGACTATTGCGTCTTCTCGTTGCTGACCCTGCATATATCTTTTGTTGATACATATGGAGAATATTTTCTCCTACTCAGTGGCTACTTTTCATTTTCTTAGTAGTATATTTTGAAGAACCAAGTTTTAAATTTTTATGAAGTCATAGTTATATTGTCATTAGTGCTTTTCTTGTTCTGGCTAAAATTCTTTGCCTAGCCCAAGGTTATGATTTTTTTTCTTTTATATCTTCTAGAAATCATATTGGTTTTTTCTTAATGTTTTGATCCATGATCCATTTTGAGTTAATTTTGTTTAACTTTTGATTGTGAAACATTTTAGAGAAAACGGAAGAGTATAATAATCTTATTTGTACCCATCAGTTTATTACCAACGATCTGGCAGTCTTATATTACCTATTCCTTATTAGCGCTTCACACTTGCTGTGGATGAATGACGATAATGTAATTATGGTTCTTTTTGAGGTAAAATTTGTGTACACTGAAGCATGTGATTCTTAGCTATTCTGAAAGTTAGATACATATCCAACATTTCCATCATTCCAGAAAGGTTTCTCTTTTTCTATCCAGGAAATCTTTCCCTCCAAAACAGATTTTTTTTCACCTTAAATTAGCTTTGCCCCTTCTATATCTTCATTAAAAAATCATATAGAATGTGACATTTGGGATGGCTTCTTTTTTTTTTTTGCCATAAATAACATGCTACCTGACTAAACTGATCCCACTTCAAGTGACTGCACAGGAATTTTTTGCCTCTTCCAACCAAGTTTATGGCTATAGCCCCTATCACCACCACCACCAAGCCAAGGTTATAGTTACAACCTCCCCCTTTTTGCTCTATTCTGATATTTGGCCAGACCATCTCTGATGATTGACAATACAAGAGAGAATCTCACCACCTTATACTATTTCTGGAATTTAAAACTCCTACTTCTTGTTTCTCTCCCAAAAACCTGGGAGACAGAAATTAGAGGAAGGAAATATATTTATTCAAGCTTGGCCCTATGGAAAATAGAGGAGAATTTCCTGTCTCACATCTACAGCTTTTGCGGGGAGAGGGGCTTAGAGGTATTAAGAGCCTCTATGGAACACAAAGAGGTTTTAGTGACACATAGGCATAAAACCCACGGGCTGGCCTGGGTCCTTCTCTCCAGAACCACAGCTCCTTCTCTTCTTTGAGAGTAAAACTAGCACTTATGGAAATACCACAATGAAACCTCCCATGTTGTATAATTAATAAGTATTAATTAAAAATGTGAGAAGAAAAAGAAAGTAAATCTGGACCTCAGACTTCAACCTCCTGGGCCAGCATCTGTATTTTCAGTTTATGCAAACACATTACTTTTCTAAAAGTCAATTCATGTGAGCTGAAGAAAGAAAGAAGCTTAGAGGGGACTCTTTAGAATTTAGAATACATATCTAAGTTAGGACTGGGTCGTGTAATGTAAAAAGCAAACTACACCTAAGCTTAGGACACCATCATAGTAGGTGTCTTCGAAAAGCAGCTCTAAAATTTTACAATGAAAACAAATTCTAGACAGAAGCACTTTAAATTTCAACATCTAAGTAAGTTTTGTGTTATTTCAAAAATTAAAACTTTTATTCTGAATTACATATAGGTGGCCTCTACAGATCTTAATCAGGCCCTGCTTTAGGGAAGTCAGCTACCCTCTCTGGGTCCTCTTTCCTCCCCACCTCCAGGATTATGATTACATCACCTAAGTGAGGAGCCATACAATAAATGCTGGCTCATTTTACTTCCTTTTTCTTCTCTCTCTATTGCCCTTTCTTTCTCTCCAGAACCCAAGACATGCAAACATAAATAGATATATTTATTGTTCTAGACTCTAATTCAGCAAATTTCCATATGGGAATTGGGTTTCTAATTCTCTCCTCTGGTATGCTGCTAGCTTATCACACTTCCCAGGAATCTTTCATCAGTCTTCCATCCCCTTTTCCTACAATCACAGGATGGAGATAAGTGCTGCTTCTTCCTCTGACACACTTGGCTACTGTGGCCCAACAGGTTCCAACCCAGAAAACAGGGGCTTGGGAGGACAACTAAAGAAAATCAGGAAAATAGATTAACAGATAAAAATGCCATCTCCAGAAACTCTTAGGTCTTTTCTCCTTGGGCTTCTTTTGCTCCTCTGTTCTAGCTCATGGCAGCCTTAAACCTCAAAACTATCTCAACAAGATCTCTGCTGAGCAGTGTGCTTATGTGCTCAGCTCCTGCAGGAACTCCTTGACCAGTGCAATCAGGATGAGTCCAGCATAAAAACATGACTCCTCATAGCTCACCTCACTATGCAAAGAGGGAAGACAACCAGCACCTCACATTCATTAATGTTTAAAATTACTATTTCTTCATGCCATGTGAAACCATCAGAGGAGAGATGATTGTACCAAGCAACCCAAACTTTGTCCAGGAGTTTGTTCCCAGTTTGAAATTTTAACTGATTTCTGAGATTATTTTTTAAATGCTACTTTTTCTCAATATTTTCTCTCCTATGACAATTTTGCCCAACATAAGAAATAGCTTAAGAAAGCATAAAAGAAAAGAAATTATTTCTGCTTACAAAGTAAAAAAATCAAAAGTCTATTCCTTCATTAGCTTTTTAAATTGATATGCATCTAGTCAACTAGCTATTTGGATGTGCAGAAAAAAGTCTTACCACTAGAATACTGTAAAATGCTGAAAAAAAATGCCAAAATTAAAAATTCTAAGCCACTAATTTATTTAGCTGATTGTTAAAATTCAGTGTAAACAAACTGTCTATTCTAATAAGCAGCTGCTTTTTACTGCCTTGATAACTAACTACATCCCCCAAATAATTTCCTTTAAAACTCCCAGATCCTTAGTTGATTATTCTGAGTCCCAGATTTCTCCATCCTGACTGAAGTAGCCATAGTAACCCCTAAAAAAAGACTCTAAATTCTGATTCCATCTTGTAATAATGTATGACTTTCCACTCAGCATCTTTATAGTCCTTAACCTATAGAAGTCCTAATTCACTAGGCTGAGGTTTTAGGATTCTACATGTTCTCAATCTTAACTCAATGCAAATTGCACAACACAATCTTAACACATTTCTCTTGTCACTACGCTAAGACCAATTTTTTAAAATTTTCATCTCCTACCCTCTCAAAAAAGTATAATATTCAAAAATTTCATATTGAGAAATTAAACTATTGTAAATAGAATCAGAAATTAATGTGTTATCATATTTTAGAAAGAAAATCTGTGAGGATAATAATAAAGCAAGAAAACATGATATAACAGAAAACAAAATACACTGGAATTCAGTGGCTGGATTTGCATCCTAGTTCTGATACCAAAAGGTTCTATAATCCCATTGTAACAGTATATTTCTGAATTCTAATATATGTGAAAGGAGGAGGTTATATTAAATGATTTATAAGATTAAGTGATTTAAAATTAAATGATCTATGATTATAGAAAAATTCGCATAAAATTAAGAAATCTTGGAATAGTTGAGGTAGAGCAAGTGTCAGAGAGAACAGATCTGCACTGAACACTCAAATGTAAGACTTAAATTTCTCTTCTGTACAGGAGAGGAAAAAAGCTATAACTTGAATCCTCATTAAAAACATAGACACTAGCCAGGCTTTGGTGGCTCAAGCCTATAATCCTAGCTATTCAGGAGGCAGTGATCAGGAGGATCACAGTTTGAAGCCAGCCTGGGCAAATAGTTCATGAGACCATATCTTAACACAAAAAGGGCTGGTGGAGTGGCTCAAGGTGTAGGCCCTGAGTTCAAGCCCCAATATTGAAAAAAAAATAGACACTAATAAACAAAGCGTTATAACTCCTTGTCCAAATACTGCTACTTTCTTAAGAAAATATTTTCTTGTCCAAGGTTTTCCTCAGGGCAACTTTGACATCCTTATTCCTGAAGCTATAGATTAATGGATTTAACATGGGCACCACAATGGTATAAAACAGGGAGGACACTTTTCCTTGATCAAGGGGCAAAATGGAAGATGGTTTGAGATACATGAAGGCTCCAGAACCAAAGAAAAGGGAAACCACAATGATGTGGGAGCTGCAGGTGCTGAAGGCTTTGGATCTGCCCTCCGTGGAGTGAATATGAAGGATGTTAGAGAGAATGAGAGCATAAGAAATGAAGATGGTGACAATAGGCATTCCAATGTCAATGGCCACAACAATAAAGACTACCAGCTCATTCACATAGGTTCTGTTGCAGGAGAGTTCAAGGAGGGGAAGGATGTCACACATGAAATGATTGACAAGGTTGTCAGCGCAGAAGGTCAGACTCATTATGCTTCCTGTGTGGGCCATGGCTCCAGCAAATCCCATCAAGTAAACACCTACCAAAAGGAGTAAACACACTTGGGGAGACATGGTGACTGTGTACACCAGAGGGTTACAGATGGCAACACAGCGGTCATATGCCATTGCTGACAGGATGAAGGACTCAGAGATGACAAAGAAGCAGAAGAAAAAGAGCTGAGTCATACACCCAACATGCAAGATAATGTTCTTCTTTGACATAAAACTCATCAGCATTTTTGGGGTGATGGTAGAAGAGTAACAGAAATCTATTAAGGAAAGGTTGAAGAGGAAGAAGTACATGGGAGTGTGCAGATGAGAGTTCAACCCTATCAGAGTGATCAAACCCAGATTCCCCACCATGGTGACCACATAGAAACCTAGAAACAGGAAGAAGAGGGGTATCCGGAGTCCTGGATGGTCTGTTAAGCCGGCAAGGATGAACTCTGTCACAGAAGAATTCTTGGCTTCCATTCTCCTCTTGTGAGGGAAATCTGTGGTGATAGAGAAGAGGACCACTTGGAGAGAAAGAAACATCACTAGCACCCTTCCATATCCATCCCCTATTGTTAGAAGAAAAAAAAAGAAAGAGAGAGAGAGAAGGAAGGAAGGAAGGAAAGGAAGAAAGGAAGGAAGGAAGGAAGGAAGGAAGGAAGGAAGGAAGGAAGGAAGGAAGGAAGGAAGAAGGAAGAAGAAAGAAGAAAGAAAGAAAGAAAGAAAGAAAGAAAGAAAGAAAGAAAGAAAGAAAGAAAGAAAGAAAGAAAGAAAGAAAGAAAAGAAAAGAAAAGAAAGAAAGAAACTGAGATTTGCTCTTTGGAAGAAAAGTTTTTACCATTTACACTATGTAGTGGCAAACTACCCAGTGACTTTAATTTCCAGAGTACACAGTATGAAGCAAAACTTTGCCTCTATAGTGAGAGCAAGGGCTGATCAAGAAAGGGGTATAAAAATCAAGCTGGATGTCTTTTTACCTATGAAGTCAGTCCCTTCCTTCTGCTTCTGCTTTAATTGCTGAAATCTGAGCCTTTTCCCTGGAGGGAGTCCTGATAGGTGGAAGCCACCAGGATTCTGTGACAGGCAGAAGTTACTGTGGCTCAGGGTTGTGCTCTAAGATAAGGTGAAGTCATGATTTTCAAGATATCTTAGTTCAAGTTTAATAATAACTTTTTTTAAACTGACACTTATTTAGGGGCTATTGTGAGAACCTCTGTTCTAAGAGAGTTGTATGACATAGTACTGTCCTCATTTTATAGATGAGACAACTGAGATCATGTAACTAGCCCAAAGTCACCTAACTATAGAACTTTAGCCAGGAGCATGTCAGCCACCAGATTCATAGTTTGAACTTGTATCCAATGTGTGACATGACTGGCCAGAGTCAGGCAAGCACTCACCTTCCTTTATTTAGAGAGCCATAACACTATACTCTACTGTCTACTGTCCAAACTGTATTGGAGAGGATAAGACTCAGTGAATAGACTCTGCTCAGCTCATATTAAGGATCTGAATCTCCAATTTACTTCCTTTTTCTGCTCAAAAGAACTTGACTTACAGTTGTTAATTTACCCAAAGGAAGAAGACAGAACCTATTCCTGACTTGGGGATAAGAGGAGAATAGAGTTCGATTCTTGTTTACAGATTTCAATGACTTGATTATGAAGACAGAGTCTCTCTCAAGACCATTTCCTCAGAGACTACCCTCCCTAAGGAAGAAGAAATGTTTGTTTATCCCTAGGAATTGCTTGATTTGGCTTTCAGGGACAATTCTTTCTTTAATACTTATCCAGTACTGTTAAGAGAAAAATTATTTTGATGATTTCTTGAATGCTCAATAATGTATCTGACACAGTGCCTTTACACTGACCCCTGACTACCAAAATTCAATATATCTTATTGAATGTATCTTATTTTTAAAAAATAAGAAAGATAATATCTTATTTATTCCTCATGATAATGCTAGCCATTTCAGAAGTGAGCTGCTCAAGATATCTGTTTCAGAGACCACAGTCATGTATAAGTCTGTCTGATCCCAAGTGTCATACTGAACCACTGGACTAAACTACCTCTTGGTGGAACCCATAAAGCCTTCTTGGATCTGACAGTCTCTTGAAAAATAACAAGTAGACACCCAATAAATTTAATGAAAAGGTATGATAAGAGCAGCTTTAACACAGAGGACTATTATAATTTAGAATAGGACGCTCAATAATTTATTCATATTTCATTTCATTCCCAGAATCCATTGCACTACTCCAACAACAATGGACACTTCTCTGATTCCCCTCTCTGTCTTCTTATGGAGGGTAAGTTAATGGAATACGTATGAGGTACTGTTCTGAACCTCTGCCAAGACCAGCCTTTCTGTAAATCACTGAGAAGTCAAAACTCCCTTCTGTCTTTTTCCTCTACTCACTTTCTTTGAACACTTCTCCCAACTGCCTCGTGTTTGCTTTGCCTTTTTCTGTCTTCTATTCCCCTCCACCAAACCTCTGCCTTGACAAAAATTGTCTGTCACATTCCTCAGTCCCTCAAGATAATACTTAACATCGAACCCATAACATATAGGATTTTAAACCTCATTATCAACTCCAGCGTTTCTCAAAACTGACTGAGTTCCACAATTACCTAGAGGGATTATTGAAAAGTTCTGGGTTAATCCAGACTATTTGCATCAGAAATTCTCTGGGTATGAATATGGTCATTGTGTTTTTTAATCTTTGTATTTCCAATGCCTGCAACTTAGGAATTCATATAACTAATATTTGCCTTCATCTTGCACAGATGTATGGAATACTTGCCCAAGGTCACAGATAAAGTTTCAGACTCTGCATTTCCAAACCCTCTTCATTTATGAACCCATATGACCTTCAGCTTGGTGGGGATGCAAAGTACAAATAATGAAAATGTAAGTGATCAGAATTCATACGTTCCAGGTATAATGGACTAGCTGATATTGCACTTAACCTTTGAACAAAAACAACAATAAGACTAGAAAAAATATATAAACTACTCTTTGCAAGCTTTTGGAAAGAAAACAACACAAAGATGAAAGTCTTGAAGAAAAAACATAAGGTGACTACCACATTCACCCAAGTCAATAACAAGTCAAGATTTGGGTCACATGATAAGGGGAGAGTACATACGGGAGGTATGGGGATAGGTAAGAAACCCAAAACATGAAAGTGTTTGATGTCCCCACTGCAAAGGAATTGATTCAGAAACCTTAAAGGGACAGAGGTCAATATGAGAAGGGGATCAAAAACTAGTAAAAAGGTCAGTTAGAGATTAATCAACTTGGGTTGTAACACATTTGTACATGGAAGCAATACTAGGAATCTCTCTGCATAGCTATCCTTATCTCAACTAGCAAAAACACTTTGTCTTTCTTATTATTGCTTATGTTTTCTCTTCCACAAAATTGGAGAAGAAGGCAGAACAGGTTCTGCCTGGAAGCAAGGTGGTGGGGGACAGGGAGAGGACTGGGGGTACGGGGAAGAAATGGCCCAAACAATGTATGCACATGTGAATAAATGAAAAAAAACAAGTCAAGAATATTCATTCTCTCTTCTCCTCAACCCCCTCCATGGGGGCAAGGTAACTAATGTACATTATAAGTCTAATGAGAATTGTCACTGTGAATCCCCCCCATATAATGAATATAGCCTAATAAAAATTATGTAAAAATCCTAAATAAATAAATAAAACAGCAGTGCCTTTTTGCTCTATGGCAAAAAAAAAGAATATTCATTCTTATTTTTTTTTAAATATTGTTGTGTTGGGGGTACATTATGACATTTACAAAAGTTCTTACAATATGTTTGTAGTTGAATTCAACCCCCCTCCATCATTCTCCTTTATACCCCCCATTCTCATAAATTTTATTCAACATTGTATGGGTAATTATAGGCTACCATTCAATAAGAAAAAAAGTGTAAAGCTTCTCAACACTCCCAAAAATAACAATATAGTTCAGTCTTTACAATATATCAGTCAAAATGTCAGTCATTCCCCTTGACTGCCTCTGCCTCTGTGTAATCTCTATTCACAGGTAGTCAACTAAATCCTCAGAGACAAGTTTCCCAGTATCAGTTTGTTCTCTGTGTTTCACTTGTATAAACAGGCCTAAAGATTAGACTAGAAGATATAAACTCATCTCTCTTTTTTTGAGACAGTCTTGTTATTTATAGTGTAGACTGTCCTCCAACTCAGAATCCTCCTGACTCATTCACTTGAATACTGGGATTACACACAGGGTCACCACACCTGACTAAACCCATCAGATAACTTAAGTGTACATAAGAAATACAAGTAAATCTATAAACAAACTATAGCATTTAAAAGTAAATTTAAAAACACCACAGAAATCATCAGAGACTACTTTGAGAATCTATATTCTAATAAATTTGAAAATCTTGAAGAAATGGACAGATTTCTAGATACTTATGACCATCAAAAACTGAGCCAAGAGGATATTAATCACCTGAATAGATCTATAACACCACAATTATCCCATGAGAACCTGAGTTCCTTTCTTCTACAACCTTATGGGGGAGGTAGTTGAGATTTGCACAGATTTCTTACTACTTTTACATAACTGATTTATTGTGGAAATGTTGAGTCTGTTCCTGCTGCTGATTCTCTCTCATCTGAGTGAAAGTAAAAGAGGAACTCATTACAACGTACATGCAAATCACAACATAGAAACATAAACAAAAGAAGTAAGCCCTATCAAATCTCCAAAACATCATAACAAATCAATAACTGAATCCAAAGAAAATTGGTTGAAATGTCAAATAAAGAGTTCAAAAGCTTACTTTTAAAAAATGATCTATGACCTTTTTGAAGAGGATTCAAATAAGCAGGTAAAGTTAAGAAATCAATTCAAGACCTAGATAAGAAAGTCAGTAACATGAATGAGAAATCTTAATAAATAAATAAATAGCATCAGCAACAGAAAAAATCAGCATAAGAATTAATATAAGGATGGAGGATAAAATTCCACTAAGACAACAATACAGACAAAATAAAAACTGAAACTAGATCCATGTTTATCACCCTGTATAAGTATCAACTCAACATGGATCAAGGTCCTTAATATCAGACCCGAAACTCTAAAGTTGGTACAGGAAAGAGTAGGAAACACTTTGGAAGTAATAGGTATAGGCAAGGACTTCCTCAATAGAACCCCAGCAACTCAGTAACTAAGGGAAGGTAGAGACAAATGGGACTTCATAAAACTGAAAAGCTTCTGCATAACAAAAGAAATAGTCTCTAAACTGAAGAGACCACCCACAGAGTGGGAGAAAATATTTGCCAGCTATATTATTCATATGTGCATGCAACACTTGGGTCATTTCTCCCATCTGCCCCCACCCCCTCCCTTACCACCCACTCTGCCCCCTCCCTCTCCCCCCTACCCCCTCAATACCCAGCAGAAACTATTTTGCCCTTATCTCTAATTTTGTTGCAGAGAGAGT